GCAGGGAGCCCGATGCGGGGCTCGATCCCAGGACCCTGGGATCATGACCTGAGCCGAAGGCAGACGCCTAACAACTGAGCCACCCAGGCGCCCCTTCTTCTTTAACTTTTTAAAAAATATATTTATTTATTTTTGAGAGAGAGCACAAGCAGGGGGAGCGGCAGGCAGAGGGAGAAGCAGGCTTCCCGCTGAGCAGGGAGCCCGATGCGGGACTCCATCCCAGGACCCTGGGGTCATGACCTGAGCTGAAGGCGACGCTCAACCAACTGAGCCACCCAGGTGCCCGTACTTACTTTACTTTTTAAAGCTCTGTTTTTTTGGTTTCTTTGGAAAGAGAACTGCCTGACTATTGGTGCTTTGAATGGAGGGAGGTACAAAATAGTATTATATTTGTTGGCCCAGGAGGAAGATGAAGTGTGATGTATATTAGCTTTTCAAATTGTTTAATCTTGCCCAAACCAAGTCAGTGATGTGACAGTTCAGAAAGGAATTCAAAGAGTACTTGCTGCTTTTAGCAATTGATTCTGAAGAGTTGTGACTTCTATAAACACCAAAAATACTTCAAAATTGATATACAATCAGGACTGAATAGGACCTTAATATTGATATGGGTCCTACAGTCTGAGTGCCAGTGCCTGGGAGGTCTTTTGTTTGTTTTTAACAAATAATACAGTATTTGGGGGCAAAACCCCAAATTTAAGAATATTTAACATTATGTGAATGCCTATTGAGTTTACAAAGAGATAAACTTGATTAAACTATTTGACTACTAAATGAATAGGGATTTGAGTGTATTTTATAGAATTTTTTATTCAATAGAAACTGTCAATCTTTGTGTCTATTATATACACACATAAGGGTAAATTAAAGTTCAGGGGAATATGTATGTAAATAAATAGAAATAAATGTGTACATATAAGTAAATCATAAATATATGTATATATTCTTAGGTATGCTGTGCTAAGGTTCAGCTGGATGTAATTTTCGCATTATCATCTAAATGAAAATATCTGTTAATTCATAAGTTCATAAATTATACCTATGAACTCAGAAGTGAAAAGTTGATCATGACAATTTAAAATAAATGTATTCTTTTGGGTATTTATTTACTTACTCAAACATTCAAAAGTTCTTACAAGGTATTAAAAATGCCTGAGACATTTGTTTTTGTTTTGTTTGTTTTATTTGACAGAGAGACAGCGAGAGAGGGAACACAAGCAGGGGGAGTGGGAGAGGGAGAAGCAGGCTTCCCGCGGAGCAGGGAGCCCGATGTGGGGCTCGATCCCAGGACCCTGGGATCATGACCTGAGCCGAAGACAGACGCTTAACGACTGAGCCACCCAGGTGCCCCATGCCTGAGACATTTGTAAGGACTTTAAAGAAGCTGTAGAAGAAATACTAATAAAGCATGAGGTGAAATTATATAGATTGCTAGACCTCAGTAGATGCAACGATGAAAGACAAAGAACTGTCAAGAAGGAGAGGGAAACTGGGTGCTTGGGTGACTCAGTCGATTGAGTGTCTGCCTTGCGCTCAGGTCATGATCCTGGGGTCCTGGAATCGAGTCCCCCATCCAGCTCCCTGCTCAGCGGGGAGTCTGCTTCTCCCTCTGCCTCTGCCCCTCCCCCTGCTTGTGTGCACACTCTCCCTCTCTCTCTCAAACGAATAAGTAAAATTTTGAAAAAAAAAAAAAAAAAAGGAGAGGGAAACTGGAAATGAGAAGAAGAGTGAAGCATTGAAGGACTGATCTAACTGAAGCCCTGGACGAGGCACTAAAAATCACTGTGGAAAGAGTGGACCACATTTGCACAATTTAAACACTGCGCTGCAATGAATGTATGTATTCTCACACAGCTCCTACCTCTCCTTCCATTTGTATTGGTTGGGATACAGGTTAGACTACGGTATCAAGTGGGCCCAACATATAATGAGTTAAACAAGTAAAATCCACGGTCAATAAGGTGGCTTCCCAGTGTCTGGGACTGAGGCTCCTTCTAATTTGTGGCTTTGCCATTCTTGAAGATGTTGCCTTTTATCATTCACGCTGTAGAAGATAGCTCACCACCATCCCAGCTGGGCCCACGTGCTAGCCAGTGGGAAAAGGAAAAGGATAAGCAGATGGCCTTATGAAGCCTGACATGGCTATTTAGAAAGGGAAATAAAGGCGAAAGAAACCTGACTGTGTGTCCAGTGTGATTTAAGAATAGCTTGATTTGGAAATTTAAACAGTCCCTTGGTCAACATGTCTTTCTAGGAAAAAATGGTTAGTCTCTGGGGTATGCCCCCATCCTGTTTCTCTCCGTAAAGGGATGCCCTGTTTCAATGGGAAGAGGATGTGGTTTATGTGTCCCTACTGATGTGGAGTGAATTGGAAAGGTTTGGCTGCACACCAGGTTTCAGCAAGGGTCAGCCACAGAAGTGATCTCTTTCCAAGGCACTACATGAAAATCAAGGACAAACTCCTATGCCGTTGGTATTACTTTCATTTATTCAACACCAGTTCTCCAAGTGTGGTCTCTGGAGAAGCAGCCTCACCATTACCTAGGAAGTTCTGAAAAATGCAGATTCTCCAGTCCTACCTCAGACCTACTGAATCAGAAACTCTGGGGGTGGAGCCCTGCAACTGTTCTAACTAATCTTCTAGGTTGATTTGAGGCACATTAAGGTTGGAGAATCATGGATTTAATGCAGTTCACTGAAAGGAGTCCTCAGAATACATGTTTAATGGACGGATTCTTTTTCTCTTGGTCTCTTTCTCTCTTCTTTCCACAATTCCCTGGGACTAAGAAAGAGTAAGCTTTCATTTACTTCCCCTAATGTGATATCCTACTTCCATGAAGCATCCACTTTCGTATTAACCTCACTTAACAAAACAAGCAACTAACAAACTAAACTAACAAAACCGTGAGAATGGACCCTTTGGGCTTAGTTGGGAAGCAGGGAGGGACTAGGTATTTGGAAAATAGCCTGGATTGCTGCATGATCCAATTTTGAATGCCAGAAACTATTTTGCCTTTGCATTCCTTCTTTCAGATAGACGAATTTCCAGCCCCCTTTCCTGATGGATACCATGAACTCACTATGCCAAGGATCCTGTTCTCAGAGCAATAAGGGAAGAACACATTTTCCAAAATATCGAATTACCCAGTTACACCTATTCACTTTTGCTAGAAGTCTACACTGAAATTTGATGAGCATGATGAAGAGGACGACTGCCTACTCCTACGATGCACCACAGAAAGAAATAGTACCGGGAAACAAAAACAGAAGTAGTCAAGAATAGAGAATGTCTAATGCCGGCTCTGTTTCTATTCCAGCATCCTCCGTGAAGTGCATAGTTTCCCTTGATTATAAAATAGAGATAAATTCTAAATGTGACATTACATAAAAAGGCATTTATTTTTACCCCCTCCTCTGCATGGGGACAGTTATCTGTCTTCATCTCAATGTGAGTTAGAATATATAATGCCCAAATAAAAAAGATTTCAATTTTCATTCATTTAGCAATAGTCTGTTTCCTTGGGAGAGAGTTGCCTAGTAAACAAAAAATGTGTGGGATGTTAGGCTTTTATAATCATGTAAAAGAAATGACTCTAAAAGATGCTACATTAATATGGCTGTAAATTGGAAGTTGTCATTTTTGTGAATGGAGAATTTATGTAGAAAGAGACATGATTCTTTCCTTCACTTAATCCATTCTCCACATGTCTGACCTTTTGAATAATCGTTTTAAAAATACAAATTGCTTCATTCCCCTCTTGTGGGGCTTCTGAATGCCTTTAGAGTAACCTTCAGTTGCTGCCGAGGCTCTAACGGGATCTGGCCCTGCGTTCTTCCTCGGTGTCCTCTCAAGGCTTTTTGCCCTTGCTCATCTTGGCTTTCTCTGTCCATGTCTTAAAGGAACCAAATTCTTTCATACCCCAGAGCTTTGGGATGTGCCTTTTGCCAGGAATGTCCTTTCCCTGACCCTTCACATAGTTAATTCTCATTTATTCTTAATTGCTCAGTGAAAGGTCTCTTCCTCAGGAAAGCCTACATATTCAAATATGTATTAGGAGTCTGCTGACCCTTTCCCTTCATAGAGATTATCAGTTTGTAGTTTGCTTCTTATTTTATTGTGTAAATTAGGTAATAAACCCTGTCACATCAGAGATCGTGTCCGTTTTGTTTCCCTCCCCCTAACCAGTGCCTAGCATAGTGCTTGGCATGTAGTAGGTGCTCGATAAATATTTCATGATTGGATTACCAAAGGTCTTATCTGACAGCAAAATAGTGTGGTTTGAATTATCAATGATAAATTATCCTGAAATTTTTAATACCATTACAGTGTATTGAATTTGATTGCTCACAAATGGGTTGGATTCCAGAATCTGCTTAACTGGTTATTAGACAGAAAACATTTCTCTATAGCAAAGCCGTCATTGTTGGTCCAGGCCTGGACCCGCCGAGAATAACAATTAGAGATCTGCCAGCTCACCTCCATCCGAATGTTGGTGACCTCAGTTTCCAAATCAGGATTCCTAGTTTTCGGCCTCCACATGATTTTTGAGGCCTTTGTTTTTGTGAAAGCAAGATAGAAATGGTGTGTTAAAAAGATGACTTTTAGTTTCTTTTCTCTCAGGACTTCTTTCATTCTTGGAATGTTTGCGTGAGGAGAGAGAAACATTGCTGTAAAACTGCACTCCGCATAAGAGGTAGCCTTGAGAAGCTGGGAAAAAGAACATCTTCCAGAAGTAGTTGGGGTCAGCACATGACAGCTCCCACTGCAGAAACGGGTTTGTGCGTATGTGGACTGGGAGTGGGAGAGGGGGTGGAGGAGGAAGAGGAACATATTCGACTTGGAGGAGGAGTGACCCTGGGATCAGTCCCTTGTACGCTGGCGTGTTCCCTACTGTTAGTCACACCGGCAGCTGCCAGGCTCTGACTGTCGTTGGAATGCTGGCTCTCAGAGACCTCCTCGGTGCCACCCACAAATGCAGATGTATTACTTAAGGGGCTGATGGTGGTTAGGCATCACAAGAACTCATTGCAACTCTCTCTCCTTCAGGTCAGTTACAGATCAAATTCAGTTTTGCTTTCAAGTCCCTCCCGGACGTATAAAAGCACATTAGGCTCAGAAAGTCCTAAGTGGCTAAACACTTGCCTACCAGAACAGGAATTTCCACTACAGCAGCCCTGACAGGTGGTTCCTCCAGCCTTTGTTTGAATACTCACCTCCCTCACAGACAGCCCGCTTCCTACTTGGACAGGTCTCATTGTTATATATTGGACTTCCTTACGCCCTAATGAAACATGCCTCCCTGGACTTTCACCTCATTTGTCTTTGTTCTGCTCTCTGGAGCTATGCAGAATAGGTCTAATCTTTCTTCAACAGGATAGTTCTTCAGACATTTGAAGACAGCTGTCCGATCCTCTCCTGTAAATTCTCTCTTTGCTGGGTAAAATAGCCTCGGATCTTCCAATTGTACCTTTTGTAAATAGTGTACTAATGTGGAAAATGTAGGAGCAACTGCCCTAGGCAGACCTGGGTTCTGTTGATTTGTTTATTCAATTATATATTCTTTTTTGTGTTTATTCCCATTAGTAAGTAGAGTAAGTACAATAAAACCTAACAAGGAGAAGTGCTTGGTTCAGTGAATGCATACACTAAGGAGGGATTTGACCAAGGCAGGGGAAGTCGGCTAAGGCTCTCTTAGGAGATCAGTGTTGAACTGAACAGATGGATGGGTAGCAGTAACCAAGGTGATGAGGAAAAGAATTGCTTTCTAGGCAGAAGGAGCAATATGTACAAAGGCCCTGTGGTGGGTAGGGCATGTGGTGGAGGTTTGATCTTTAATTTCCATGTATATGCAGAGATGGATTATAGTACCTTCTCCCTTATTAAAAGAATTATTTCAAAAAAAAAACGAAAAGAAAAGGGGGGACCTGGGTGGCTCAGTCAGTTAAGCGTCTGACTCTTTTTTTTTAATCTATAAAGGAAAGGATAATATTTTATTTTTTTATTTTTAATTTAAATTCAATTAGTTAACATATAATGTATTATTAGTTTCAGAGGTAGAGGTCAGTGGTTCATCAGTCTTATATAATACCCAGTGTTCGGGGTGCCTGGGCGGCTCAGTCGGTTAAGCGTCTGCCTTCAACTCGGGTCATGATCCCGGGGTCCTGGGATCGAGCCCCACGTTGGGGTCCTGGGATCAGGCCCCATGTTGGGTTCCTTGCTTAGTGGGGAGTCTGCTTCTCCCTCTCCCTCTGTCTGCTGCTCACCTTGCTTGTGCTCTCTTTCTCTCTCAAATAAATAAAATCTTAAAAAAAAAGGCCTCTCCTTTTCTGTTTATCCAATCCCTGTAATACTTATTACCTGTCTTATTCCTCTGGGAAGGCTCCCTGGACACTCAGGCTCAGGTCTGTTTCCATAGTGTAATAGTTAAGTGCAGGGTTTCGTAGTCTTGGGTTTGAATCCAGTTTCCATTCCTGATCACCTTATGGCATTAGACAAATTATTTAATTTCTCTGACATCTAATTTCCTTATCTGTGCAAGAGGTAACGACAGTAACTACTTCATTCAAATGTTTGTGACAAGTGAGATATCTAAGCATCTGTATCTATATATCTACCTCTACTTCTCTCTCTATATATCTTTATATCTGTATCTCTCTCTGTATGACAGAGCCCTTTCTAATGGTTCTTACTTCCTTGTCCTGTACATCCTACGTGGCTCAGTCATTCTAAGGGTGACTCTAAGGTTAGGGGCATAGGGCGGAAGCCATTTGCTCTGCTCCTGAGTATTTGAAGTCTCTGCTCCCCTGGCTGTCGCTAATGCACATCCGGTGGAAGTGCCCTTGGGTCAGCCCACATGTGCATGCGCACAGGACCTCTGAGCCACCCACTGGCCAAACCAGGTACCTTACGGCTCAGTATCACCATGCCTGACCAAACCACCCCAGCGAAACTGCAGAAGGCAAGTGATATTCATGCTTTAAGTGGCAAGTAAAATCTCTTTTCAGAATGTCATGTCGAAGACTTTTCTGGATTAATAATTCTTTTGCAGAATCCTATTTCATAAATACAGCTTAATAATGTTTAATAACCAGAAAAACAAATTATTTAATTCTTAAATTAACAGGTTTTTAAAGTACTTACATTCAATTGAGGTTAAGTAGGTGAAATTCTAGTATTACCTTCTAAAAGATTGCAACCTGTGTATCAAGACTGCAGTCAAGGGTGTTGTAATGGCAGGATATTGAATTTCCCTGAAAAAAACATGGAAATGTGCTAAATTGATTAAGTCAACTGATTTAAGATTCTTCATGTTTACCTACTGCAGACAGTAGTGGTTCAATATTGCAAGTAATTTTCTTCTCTGTAGAATTAAAAGAATCTGTATTATAAAAACTAAATGTTGTGCTTGTGCTTGAATATATAACCCCTTACCAACACCACTCTGCATTTATTTCATATTTGAGATACTTGCTTTGACAGATACTAAAACCAAGATCAATGTGCCTGTTTTTCTGCCTCATTTTGCATAGTAAGTATTCAAATAGCACATAAAATCTCACTGAAGCTCTTAATTCAGAACCTGAAAATGTGTGTACAAAAAATCACTACCATGATTCTGTAGAGTTCACACTTGGCCATTTTGCTTTTTTATGAAATCGGTCAAAATGAAAATGTACATTTTGTTCTATTCATTTGCTTTTCCCTATTCTCTTTAATTCAGTTTTATTTCCTTTGTTCTTTGTAGTCTCCCTCACCCCCACACTGATTTTCTTTCTGCAAATCCCTTCAATGATGGATACTGACCTCAGTATCCACAGTTTTAACACTTTTATTAAATCTAATATCTTTCATAAAAAGCCAGGCACACCTTAGAGAATCAGGAGCTTACTAAATGTTCACTAACCTCATTTTATGGCCAAATCCCTCTTTTCCTGTTGCTCTAACATTTATTTTATCAATTGTCATTACCTTTTGATCAAACATCATGATAAGAAATGTAATTGAAGTCCCATTTTTTTTCTTTCACCACCCAACATCTTATTTTGATAAATTTCAAACATGCAGAAAGGTTGAAATAATTGTATAGAAAATATCTGTATGCCCGCACATATATATTCTACTATGAACATTTTATTATATTTGCTTTATCACCCAACTGTGCATTTATCCATTCTTCCATGCACCCATCAACCCATCATAATTTTTTGATGCAATAAGTTACAGATGTATCAATATACTTCATCTCTAACGTTTCAGTGTGCATATCATTAACTAGTGTTCTGTACTGGTTTATAATTATTTTTTTTTCTTTCAAGTGGTATGTACATCTATGGCCTGTACAGATATTTAGCTTACCATTTGCTGAGTTTGGACAAATGTAGACACCTGTGTAACCTCAACCCCTATCAAGACAGGAGAATATTACTATCACTCCAGAACATTTCCTCATGCTTCCTTCCAGTAGATCCTCACCCACCTTGCCCCTACCCCAGGCAACC